GTCGTTGATCCTGGCCACGAAATGATGACGCGTAATCCTGGACAAAGGTCAACTGGCGCAAGGTGTCCAGCTTCGTGCGTGCGTTGTCCCGAGGCGGATATTTCTTCGAATCGTCCACGCAGAGCTGTACCCCAAGCTTTCCACGTACGAATGTCGGTAGCTAGGAAAATTGACGTTGTGTCCAGGCAGCAGATTCCAAACGCCCGAAAAACCCCTGAGTGTTCCCTACCGAAGTCCCCGTCTCGGGAAAATTACTGCCGCGGACTTTCCACGAAAACTTTCATACTTTCGTGGACAAGCCATACTTTCATTAGTCTCTTGCGTCTGGCGAAGTTCGGTAACTTCAGCGCAAAGCATCTCGTTGTCGTTTAACACAGCTTGTAGGCGAGCGTCCGTGGCGGCGAATTTCGCCAACAAATCGTCAAACTATGCTTGGTCCATGTGGCGGAGACTACGCCGGGTGGGCAGGGGGATATCCGTGATTACCTGTGCTCAAGTAAGAGCGCAAACGCTATTGTAGTCAGGCAAATTAATTTGTCTAATTTGCGGCCGACTGCTTTGCAGCTTAGTGAGCGAATCACTCCCCCCCCCCTCGAAAAAAAGGTTTCCGCCTACGGAAGCGGGTAGGTGAGGAAAGTAGCTGAATACCAGATGTTATGAGTGTTTAACCAGAGTAGCGCGGAATCGAATGTCAAAATTCAGAATAACAGAATGTGGTACAACGGAATGACAAAGCAAGATATAGGAACACCATAGCAATCCCTAGCCGCGTGATTGAACAGCTTCGGAGAAGGCATCAGAGGACGCGAAGCGCTTCGGAGTGACGCGGAATGGTTTGGTGCGACGTGTTCGGGCTGAAGCTAGGGCTGATGTCGGTGCCGTGTGGGGTCGGTGTACGCGGTAGCGGTGTAGCTTGCTAAGGAATGGAAAATTCCTTACAGGCGCTGCGATAAAATCCGAAGAAACAGTTGGGGTTCGTGTTAACGGAGTAACCTTGTGTATTAGCGGGGCCATATTTGTCACCTCTTGTATGAATTCTCAAACGATCGCGGTCGATCTTGTTGAACCTTTATGAGCGCAACGATGACGAGACTTGATGAGGTAAAACTCCATCCAACGGCTCAGACATGTCAAAACGATCGTAATCGATTGGAGTCGTTGAAGAATGGAATGGAACGGGCAATGGCGAAAACTTATTTTGCTGACCGAACGGGCAATGGCGAGAGAAACTCAAGTGATGAAATGGGGAATTTATCAGGGCTTATGCTAGATTCTTGCGTCGCTCGGACGTTCAGTGCGCCGCTCGTATGTTAAGGGCACCCCTCGAAACTTACCAAAAAAAAAAAAAAAAAACATGGCACGGCCAAATCGTGTCCTTACGAAAAGGGCTCGCACCAGATCCGCTCGGCCAAATCCAAGGTGCCTTTAAAAATGCTCATTTATCTATCTAGCAATGTTACATTACAAATCGCACATATGAAGTGTCCATAAAATTCAAGTTATTAATGCATGCAATGTCTCAAAAAGAACTCACATCACACCAACCTCACTCACGTCTCGGATGGAAACAGCGAGCGATATTTGAGGGGCCAACTGACAGGAGGAGGGGCGAGATTACTGGGGGGGCTGAAATGGCTAGTGGACGAGCAAGATGAGGCGCGCGAGCTGACTAGATTGGCAGGGCAGCGCGCGTGAGGTGAGGAGAAAGTTCTCTTTCGGGGGAGGGGGGTGGCTGGTTACAAGTAGCCTCAAACTTCTCTCGGACGAAAAGGCTGGCACCCAAAAGTCTCCTGAAAACCAATGGGAGAGTAAATTTTGAACTTTTTTTTTTAAGGGCTGCCTCTAAAAAACCCCTGAAAATCAATCAAGAACGAGCATTTACCCTGTTAGCATAAGCTCGGGTATGTATATGGACTCAAAGGGCAGGATAAAACGGGCAGGGGAGAAAGGAGCCCGGAAGCTTTTGATGCCGTCCAAAGCATTAGGGTTTAGGGTCACGGACGACATCGGGTCCGGCATCCGGCATCCGGGGGGGAACACAACTGCACTCCCCCCCCCCCCCCCCCCTCTCCAAGAAGAAACAGCTCCCAACATCCTAGGTAAAAAATCCAGTAAACCGAATGCTACAGGGTAGTCGAAATACCCAACACGGCTGCGTGAAATCTGGTACTCAGCTTTGAGGAAATATATCCCAGCGACTAAACTCGAACCATGAGGAATCCATATTTGCTTTAAGTAACAGTTTCTTCAGGGTAAACTGCTTCGAAGGTTTTCAAATGCCGCAACTACTGCTATAGAAGACTCCCACACGAGCTTAAAAATTCTTCACGAGTAAAACAATGTGTGCAAGCTGGCATCAACACAGCTCCAACCGTTGCACATGCTCCCATTTGCCAAACCTTGTCGATTCGATGCTGCTGCTGTCGGTTGTCGGTATGGGGATTCGGGTCATATTTACACAAGCGAACGAAAGATTGGCGAAGTGAAAAGGGAGGCGGTAGCGGGTGGCAGCGAAGGTTGACGGCGATGGCGATGGTATGTAACCTGTACGGACCCCACTCCATGAAACATCCTCGAGCTGAACTCAGGGTCAAATGACGCTAGCTGCATCAGCTTCTTTGTCCGTACACGCCGAAAAATAGGAAAGAGACGAAACACCTGCTGTTCTCCTTCCCCCTTCATGCACCCAAATTATTCCAAGAATATCAATCGATGTCGCTCGAACCCCTGAAGATAGAGGGCACAACTCCAGCAAAAATGTCGGAACCACCATTAGCAAATACCGCAACTTCGATTCACAGCTATCAGTAAAACACCCAGGCTTTGCAACTTCCTTTAGCAACTCCCCCACAGTTGCACCACCAGCTGTACGCATGCATTGAAGCCTCTAATTTGGGAACAATGGAGTCCACCGCCTCGGCATGATGTTTTGGCTGTCGATCAGGGTCAACGCGCATCATACGCCGTTGATCTCCGCGCAGCTGTTTCACAACTCCATAAATTCTCCAGTACCCCTGACCAGCTACTCCGTTAGATTTCAAATATTTCCCCACTACGACACCCTGACGTTTAGTAGCGCGCTGACGTTCACCCATCGTCACACTCGCCCTGGCACCAAAAGTAGTCCTAGGCTTTCGCACCTTGACAAGTAGCCCCATTAACCAGGGCCGACTCCGGAAAGCTCCGCTGCACTTAGAAATTTTCGGGAACACTGACTATCTTCCAGCAGTAACTCTTCTCCAAAAGTTTCTCTGGTACCCCTCGCCAGCTGGCCGTGCCGATGTTCACCCATCGCGCGGCTGCAGCATGTTACCCAAAAACTGCTTCTCTGTTGCTTAACTAACTGAGAGTCCTCAAAGATAGGAGTGCGCACGCTTCTAGCCAGATGAGCTTTAACGAGCTCACCTATTAACCGTTGGACATCTCCCTTCTCCATCGGAAACTCGGCGAACTACACCAAAAAAACTTCGGAAACTCTCTTTCGGCACTTGATGAAATTCACTACTCCGCTACTACAGTTGCTCTTCAAGATTCAGGGACAATCCATCAGCATAGTGTAGTTTGCAGGTTCACCCCCCTCATTTAGCCAGGCATGGTCGATAACAAATTGACACTGTTTCCTGGTGGGGATGGTGATATTTGGGCGACGTAGCTGAGCGAGAAGCAGCCCGAACGCCGCTTATCATTAACTAAGCTTCAGTACTCACGTTGTTCTTCTTCCACTGCTTCAGCTCCAGGCAGTTGACGCTTTCGGTGACCCGGTGGAAAACACTTAATACACACCCGAGAGTGGTGGCCTCCGTTTCTGTTGATCGTGGGGGTGTGAATCGGTGGTCCACGAAAACGCCTCCCCACGTGGAAAGTCGCCCTTGCTGAGTACGCTGTACTCCAGCGCAGCGTCATTATCTCCAGATGGCCGTCGCATGTGAACAGCTCCTAGGTCGTTAATCTCATGTGCTCCCACACAAATGCACACCCATCAGTGCCCCGTGCGATCGTATCGTGCCGAATTTGTCGAGGTCGCCCATTGCCGAAATAGTTTCGTAAGTCCCGTCCATCGTCTGCAACTAGCCTGCCAGAAACGTCGGGACGTGCGACACAGCTACAATTCACCATGCAGCTTCGTGATACGTCCCGCCATTGTCGCCACCCCGTGCACTCGTGACGACCAACTCCCGACCGCCTAAGGACTCTCGTGCACTTTTCTTCTCTCGACGAAGCCTTCGTTTTTTTCGGAAGCCAATCCAAATACTCCGTCAAGACGCCCAAATTTTACGAATTTTCTAACGAATATACCAGTAAACTTCGGCGAAAACGTCCCCATTTTATGATAGAAGATAATTCCGTCTACGCTCGTGGAAGGGGAGGATCGGCTAACCCTAGACGTCCATCGAACAAGATCCGCCAGCATCGGAAACGTCTGCATACTCAATCTCCGTGACGTCAGCTCGTCATCAGCATCCTTCTGCCCCCTTCTCCGATAGGGTCTGCTCCCCTACCAGAAATCTAATGGGCAGGAATGTAGCTCTGATACCAGCTGTTATGAATTATAACTCAGAGTGTAGAGCAGTATTCAATAAGGGGAACGTGATTACAGAATGTTGATGGAAATGAGGCCTAGTGGATATATAGGGCGATTGACCAGGGTTGAATGTCGAAGTTTGGACCAGTCAAGGGCTTGAGAGTGCCAAGGACGTTGGGGTCAAATTGGGTTCGGGGCGACTAGGGTTCAGGTTGGGGGCCGATTAGGTAGGCGGGGCTGGTTGGCGCGTGACTTGAGGGCCGAGCCTGCGGAGGCGAATGTTTCACGCGTACTCTCTGAGGCGAGCCTCGGTAAGGAATCGTAACTCCTTACAGCGTCGTTACACAAACAGAATCCGTAACACCAGATACGCTTAGCCATAACATGTTCGTCTGCCCTGTGACAGTCAGGGTGATGAACCCAGGTTCAGTACGGTGCTACCGACCACACTGGCTGCGCTCGCGCGAGGTCCGTCTCGTCTCTGTCTGCATCAGAAGGCAAGGCGCGTTTCGGCTACCAGCATTCCCTGGAAATCCGCGAGGATGAGAGGTTGATCAGGAGATGAGGGAAGGCTAGGCGGCCATTGAGAAGGGGGGAGAAGGAGGCATCGCCTATGGGAGAAGGTAGGGCAGTAATTTCTCTGAGAAAAGGTGTGCAGTCGTTTCCTCTGGCAAATTAGGTCCTTGTGCAAGCCCTCAGGTGCATCCTCCGTCGCCGCGTTCTACCGCCGACTTCAAGCCGTCAAGCAAAGATGGGCCACAAAGTTTGACGTCAAACCGCAACGCTGACTGAGACGCGAACAGAGCAGCGACATGTGACGCTAACTGAGACGCGAACAGAGAAGCGACATGTGACGCTAACTGAGACGCGAACAGAGAAGCGACATGTGACGCTAACTAAGACGCTGGTGGTCTAAAGTGTGGCGGCAACTGTGACGCTAGTTTTGACGCTAGTTGCGAGCACAACCGCCCGCGACGCGCTAGCTGAAACGGAGGCCTTGAGCCGCTCGATTTGCTTCGAGTCGTTCAATTCGCCTTGCGCCGTTCGATTCCCCTTGAGTCGTTCAATTCGTCTTGACACAACTGGCAGCATGTTGACAGCCGCCGAGCAGGGTTGACAGCCGCCGAGCAGCGTTGACAGCCGCCAAGCAGCGTTGACAGCCGCCGAGCCGCGTTGACAGCCGCCGAGCAGCGTTGACAGCCGCCGAGCAGCGTTGACAGCCGCCGAGCAGCGTTGAAAGCCGCCGATCCGCGTTGACAGCCGTTGATCCGCGTTAACTCCCATGAATGCCCCGTTGAGCAGGCGTTGAGCAGCGTTGACAGATACGCGTTGAGCAGCGTTGAGCAGCGCTGACTCAATGCCCCCTGACTCAATGCCCCCTGACTCAATGCGCACTGTCCCTCCTCTCCTCTCACCATCTCCCCCTCACCATCTCCCCCTCACCATCTCCCCCTCACCATCTCCCCCTCACCATCTCCCCCTCACCATCACCCCTCACCATCTCCCCCTCACCATCTCCCCCTCACCATCACCCCTCACCATCTCTCTCCATCCCCCACTCCTCACCCCGCACCCCCCGCCAGCACCTTCCAAGAGGCCCTCCCGCCGCCGCCAGTCCTCCAGGCGGCAGCGCTGGGCGGCAGTGACGTCATCATGGGCGGCGGTGCTTGTCGTGGCGCTGGGCCTGCTGACGTGGACACTGTACCTGTACTCTGCCACCCACCGCCTGCTCTCTCAGCCCTCGTCCTTCAGCTCCACTCGCTCCTCCACCCCTCGCAAGCTACAGCAGGTTGTAGCTCCTCTTCCTCCTCTTCCTCCTCTTCCTCCTCTTCCTCCTCTTCCTCCTCTTCCTCCTCTTCCTCCTCTTCCTCCTCTTTCTCCTCTTCCCTTTTCAGGTGCCTGCCGAATAAGATATTCTCTGTACCTGTAACTACTCTGCCACCCACCACCCTCTCTCTCCGCCCTCTCTCTCCGCCCTCTCTCCGCCCTCTCTCTCCGCCCTCTCTCTCTGCCCTCTCTCTCCGCCCTCTCTCTCCGCCCTCTGCCTCCAGCTCTACCGGCTCCTCTGCCCCTCGCAAGCTACAGCAGGTTGTAGTAGTAGCTGCTCCCTTCGCCTCCTGATCGAGGTCCCTCATTGGTTGGGTCGACTCAAAAATGGACTCATTACACACGGATATCACATAGGAAGACTCTGGACCTGTACTCTCTGCCAACCCCACCCCACCCCACCCCACCCCACCCCACCCCACCCCACTGCCTGCTCTCTCTGTGATATGCGTTTCGTTCTCTGGCTCCACTGGCTCCACTGGCTTTACTGGCTCCACTGGCTACAGCAGGGTTCTACCGTGGTAATAGCCAATTGCTAAGCTGCCACTGCTGTTAGGAGCATCAGTAACTGCACCTGTGCTCTACCCTGCCCCCCACCACCTGCTCCCTTGTCCTGTCTCTCTTCTCCTGCCTCTAACTCCACTCGCTCTGCTCCTCACAAGCTGCAGCAGGTTGTAGTGGTAGCCTCTCCTGCTCTTCCTGTTCTTTCTGCTGGCATGGGCTCTGCACTGGTACTCTGCCACGGTGCCACCCAGCCACCGCCTTCTCTCCCCACCCTCTTCCGGCTCCACTCACTCCGCTCCTCGGGCGCTGCAGCAGGTTGCTTGCAGTCGCCCCTCCCTTCACCGCTGTTTGGGGACGCCTCAATGATGGCAGTCGCATAAAATGGCATTGCACAGCCTGGCTTGGACACTGCACCTGTCTTTTGAGCCGAGTCGACTCAGAAGTCAACTTGTTTGCTGTCCTCTCCTCTACCAGACAGCCGTCCACCAGCTGCTCCCTCTCCTCCTTCCTCCATCTTCCCTCCTAGCGAGCTGCATCAAGTGGATGGGACACTGTGCGTTTGAGCTGTTTTTTTTAGTCCCTTAAACCTCTCTAGCAGGCGGGCGGGACACTGTGCGTGTAAGGTGCCGCCGCATGCCTCGTTGCTGCAGCCAGGGATGACATTGCCTCCTCTGCCGACACCTACCCTCCCTACGTACCCCACGCATCATGCCTCTTCAGTTCCCTGTCCATGCTCCTGCTCGTCCTCACTCCCTTGCTGCTCACTGCTCACTCACCCGTGTGCTCATTACCTTCCCTCTTCCACCCCGGACCCCGGCCTCCCTCTCTTCCCGTCTCTTCCCTCATCGGCCACTTCGGCCCTCCCATCACATGGCCAAGGCAGGATATGGCAGTTGGGAGGAGGGAGGGACGCAAAGGGGAAGACAAAGAAGAAGAGGAAGAACCAACGCAAGCGGATGATGATGGTGAAAGGGGGCGTAGGGAAGAAGGGGCAGGGGACGTTAGGGTGGATGGAATAGCAGGGAAGGCGGGGAGCCCGCAGCAGCAAGAGCAGGGGGGGCAGAAACGGGAGGGCGAGCAGGGCGAGGGGCAGGGGAGTAGAGCGGGTTTGACTCATGGACTAGAATTGGGAGACAGTGAGATGCACAGGGGAGGGGTGGAGCAGGGGGGAAAGGAGAGGGAGGGAGGGAGAAGAGAGGGAGGAAGAGAGGAGGGGGTTGGAGAGAGGGAGGGGGTACCGCTGTCCCTAGAAGCACAGGTGAAGGCGTTGCAGAAGCAGCAGGCAGAGGTGCAGTCGTGGGAGGAGGAGGTGATCAGGAGAATAGGGGCGGTGGAGACGAGGGAGAGGGAGGCTAAGAGGAGGGAGAAGGTGATTGACGGGAAGGAGACGGAAATCGCTTGGAGGGAGAAGGAGTGGCGGAAAGAGGCAGAATTGAGGAGAGTGGGGTCAGAAGGAGAGGATGAAGGGGTTGGCCTGGGGAGGAGAGTGGGGGCAGCAGGGGGGGGTGTCAGCGGTGGCATGCGGCATGATGTAATGGAGGCCCTTCAGATGCTGAAACTGACTGTGAAAGCGCTGGAGGACAACATCGAGATGGTGCTGAATACTGAGGCCGGGTGAGGGAGGAAGGCAGGTGAGGGGTGAAGCCAGGTGAGGGGTGAAGCCAGGTGGGGGGTGAAGGCAGGTGAGTGGTGAAGCCAGGTGAGGGGTGAAGCCAGGTGGGGGGTGAAGCCACGTGAGGGGTGAAGCCAGGTGGGGGGTGAAGGCAGGTGAGGGGTGAAGCCAGGTGGGGGGTGAAGCCAGGTGGGGGGTGAAGGCAGGTGAGGGGTGAAGCCAGGTGGGGGGTGAAGGCAGGTGAGTGGTGAAGCCAGGTGAGGGGTGAAGCCAGGTGGGGGGTGAAGCCAGGTGAGGGGTGAAGCCAGGTGGGGGGTGAAGGCAGGTGAGGGGTGAAGGCAGGTGAGGCGTGAAGGCAGGTGGGGGGTGAAGGCAGGTGAGAGTGAAGGCAGGTGAGGGGTGAAGGCAGGTGAGGGGTGAAGGCAGGTGGGGGGTGAAGGCAGGTGAGAGTGAAGGCAGGTGGGGGGTGAAGGCAGGTGAGGGGTGAAGGCAGGTGGGGGGTGAAGGCAGGTGAGAGTGAAGGCAGGTCGGGGGTGAAGGCAGGTGGGGGTGAAGGCAGGTGAGGGGTGAAGGCAGGTGAGGGGTGAAGCCAGGTGCGAGGTGAAGGCAGGTGAGGGGTGAAGCCAGGTGAGGGGTGAAGGCAGGTGAGGGGTGAAGGCAGGTGGGAGGTGAAGGCAAGTGGGGGGTGAAGGCAGGTGAGGCGTGAAGGCAGGTGGGGGGTGAAGGCAGGTGGGGGTGAAGGCAGGTGAGGCGTGAAGGCAGGTGGGGGGTGAAGGCAGGTGAGGCGTGAAGGCAGGTGAGGGGTGAAGGCAGGTGGGGGGTGAAGGCAGGTGAGGGGTGAAGGCAGGTGAGGGGTGAAGCCAGGTGCGAGGTGAAGGCAGGTGAGGGGTGAAGGCAGGTGAGGGGTGAAGGCAGGTGAGGGGTGAAGGCAGGTGGGAGGTGAAGGCAGGTGGGGGGTGAAGGCAGGTGAGGGGTGAAGGCAGGTGGGGGGTGAAGGCAGGTGAGGGGTGAAGGCAGGTGAGGGGTGAAGCCAGGTGGGAGGTGAAGGCAGGTGAGGGGTGAAGCCAGGTGAGGGGTGAAGCCAGGTGAGGGGTGAAGGCAGGTGAGGGGTGAAGCCAGGTGGGAGGTGAAGGCAGGTGGGGGGTGAAGGCAGGTGAGGGGTGAAGGCAGGTTGGGGGTGAAGGCAGGTGAGGGGTGAAGGCAGGTGGGAGGTGAAGGCAGGTGAGAGTGAAGGCAGGTCGGGGGTTAAGGCAGGTGGGGGGTGAAGGCAGGTGAGGGGTGAAGGCAGGTGAGGGGTGAAGCCAGGTGCGAGGTGAAGGCAGGTGAGGGGTGAAGCCAGGTGAGGGGTGAAGGCAGGTGAGGGGTGAAGGCAGGTGGGAGGTGAAGGCAGGTGGGGGGTGAAGGCAGGTGAGGGGTGAAGGCAGGTGGGGGGTGAAGGCAGGTGAGGGGTGAAGGCAGGTGGGGGGTGAAGCCAGGTGAGGGGTGAAGCCAGGTGGGGGGTGAAGGCAGGTGAGGGGTGAAGCCAGGTGGGGGGTGAAGCCAGGTGGGGGGTGAAGGCAGGTGAGGGGTGAAGCCAGGTGGGGGGTGAAGGCAGGTGAGTGGTGAAGCCAGGTGAGGGGTGAAGCCAGGTGGGGGGTGAAGCCAGGTGAGGGGTGAAGCCAGGTGGGGGGTGAAGGCAGGTCAGGGGTGAAGGCAGGTGGGGGGTGAAGCCAGGTGGGGGGTGAAGCCAGGTGAGGGGTGAAGGCAGGTGGGAGGTGAAGGCAGGTGGGGGGTGAAGGCAGGTGAGGCGTGAAGGCAGGTGGGGGGTGAAGGCAGGTGAGGGGTGAAGGCAGGTGAGGGGTGAAGGCACGTGGGGGGTGAAGGCAGGTGGGGGGTGAAGGCAGGTGAGAGTGAAGGCAGGTGGGGGGTGAAGGCAGGTGAGGGGTGAAGGCAGGTGGGGGGTGAAGGCAGGTGAGGGGTGAAGGCAGGTGAGGGGTGAAGCCAGGTGGGAGGTGAAGGCAGGTGAGGGGTGAAGCCAGGTGAGGGGTGAAGCCAGTTGAGGGGTGAAGGCAGGTTGGGGGTGAAGGCAGGTGAGGGGTGAAGGCAGGTGAGGGGTGAAGCCAGGTGGGAGGTGAAGGCAGGTGAGGGGTGAAGCCAGGTGAGGGGTGAAGCCAGGTGAGGGGTGAAGGCAGGTGAGGGGTGAAGCCAGGTGGGAGGTGAAGGCAGGTGGGGGGTGAAGGCAGGTGAGGGGTGAAGGCAGGTTGGGGGTGAAGGCAGGTGAGGGGTGAAGGCAGGTGGGGGGTGAAGGCAGGTGAGGGGTGAAGGCAGGTGAGGGGTGAAGCCAGGTGGGAGGTGAAGGCAGGTGGGGGTGAAGGCAGGTGAGGGGTGAAGGCAGGTTGGGGGTGAAGGCAGGTGGGGGGTGAAGGCAGGTGAGAGTGAAGGCAGGTGAGGGGTGAAGGCAGGTGGGGGGTGAAGGCAGGTGAGGGGTGAAGGCAGGTGGGGGGTGAAGGCAGGTGAGGGGTGAAGGCAGGTGAGGGGTGAAGGCAGGTGAGGGGTGAAGGCAGGTGGGAGGTGAAGGCAGGTGGGGGGTGAAGGCAGGTGAGGCGTGAAGGCAGGTGGGGGGTGAAGGCAGGTGAGGGGTGAAGCCAGGTGAGGGGTGAAGGCAGGTTGGGGGTGAAGGCAGGTGAGGGGTGAAGGCAGGTGAGGGGTGAAGCCAGGTGGGAGGTGAAGGCAGGTAAGGGGTGAAGCCAGGTGAGGGGTGAAGCCAGGTGAGGGGTGAAGGCAGGTGAGGGGTGAAGCCAGGTGGGAGGTGAAGGCAGGTGGGGGGTGAAGGCAGGTGAGGGGTGAAGGCAGGTTGGGGGTGAAGGCAGGTGAGGGGTGAAGGCAGGTGGGGGGTGAAGGCAGGTGAGGGGTGAAGGCAGGTGAGGGGTGAAGGCAGGTGGGGGGTGAAGGCAGGTGAGGGGTGAAGGCAGGTGGGGGGTGAAGGCAGGTGAGAGCGAAGGCAGGTGGGGGGTGAAGGCAGGTGAGGGGTGAAGGCAGGTGAGGGGTGAAGCCAGGTGGGAGGTGAAGGCAGGTGGGGGGTGAAGGCAGGTGAGGGGTGAAGGCAGGTGGGGGGTGAAGCCAGGTGAGGGGTGAAGCCAGGTGGGGGGTGAAGGCAGGTGAGGGGTGAAGCCAGGTGGGGGGTGAAGCCAGGTGGGGGGTGAAGGCAGGTGAGGGGTGAAGCCAGGTGGGGGGTGAAGGCAGGTGAGTGGTGAAGCCAGGTGAGGGGTGAAGCCAGGTGGGGGGTGAAGCCAGGTGAGGGGTGAAGCCAGGTGGGGGGTGAAGGCAGGTCAGGGGTGAAGGCAGGTGGGGGGTGAAGCCAGGTGGGGGGTGAAGCCAGGTGAGGGGTGAAGGCAGGTGGGAGGTGAAGGCAGGTGGGGGGTGAAGGCAGGTGAGGCGTGAAGGCAGGTGGGGGGTGAAGGCAGGTGAGGGGTGAAGGCAGGTGAGGGGTGAAGGCAGGTGGGGGGTGAAGGCAGGTGGGGGGTGAAGGCAGGTGAGAGTGAAGGCAGGTGGGGGGGTGAAGGCAGGTGAGGGGTGAAGGCAGGTGGGGGGTGAAGGCAGGTGAGGGGTGAAGGCAGGTGAGGGGTGAAGCCAGGTGGGAGGTGAAGGCAGGTGAGGGGTGAAGCCAGGTGAGGGGTGAAGCCAGGTGAGGGGTGAAGGCAGGTGAGGGGTGAAGCCAGGTGGGAGGTGAAGGCAGGTGGGGGGTGAAGGCAGGTGAGGGGTGAAGGCAGGTTGGGGGTGAAGGCAGGTGAGGGGTGAAGGCAGGTGGGGGGTGAAGGCAGGTGAGGGGTGAAGGCAGGTGAGGGGTGAAGGCAGGTGGGGGGTGAAGGCAGGTGAGGGGTGAAGGCAGGTGGGGGGTGAAGGCAGGTGAGAGCGAAGGCAGGTGGGGGGTGAAGGCAGGTGAGGGGTGAAGGCAGGTGAGGGGTGAAGCCAGGTGGGAGGTGAAGGCAGGTGGGGGGTGAAGGCAGGTGAGGGGTGAAGGCAGGTTGGGGGTGAAGGCAGGTGGGGGGTGAAGGCAGGTGAGAGTGAAGGCAGGTGAGGGGTGAAGGCAGGTGGGGGGTGAAGGCAGGTGAGGGGTGAAGGCAGGTGGGGGGTGAAGGCAGGTGAGGGGTGAAGGCAGGTGAGGGGTGAAGGCAGGTGAGGGGTGAAGGCAGGTGGGAGGTGAAGGCAGGTGGGGGGTGAAGGCAGGTGAGGCGTGAAGGCAGGTGGGGGGTGAAGGCAGGTGAGGGGTGAAGCCAGGTGAGGGGTGAAGGCAGGTTGGGGGTGAAGGCAGGTGAGGGGTGAAGGCAGGTGAGGGGTGAAGCCAGGTGGGAGGTGAAGGCAGGTAAGGGGTGAAGCCAGGTGAGGGGTGAAGCCAGGTGAGGGGTGAAGGCAGGTGAGGGGTGAAGCCAGGTGGGAGGTGAAGGCAGGTGGGGGGTGAAGGCAGGTGAGGGGTGAAGGCAGGTTGGGGGTGAAGGCAGGTGAGGGGTGAAGGCAGGTGGGGGGTGAAGGCAGGTGAGGGGTGAAGGCAGGTGAGGGGTGAAGGCAGGTGGGGGGTGAAGGCAGGTGAGGGGTGAAGGCAGGTGGGGGGTGAAGGCAGGTGAGAGCGAAGGCAGGTGGGGGGTGAAGGCAGGTGAGGGGTGAAGGCAGGTGAGGGGTGAAGCCAGGTGGGAGGTGAAGGCAGGTGGGGGGTGAAGGCAGGTGAGGGGTGAAGGCAGGTTGGGGGTGAAGGCAGGTGGGGGGTGAAGGCAGGTGAGAGTGAAGGCAGGTGAGGGGTGAAGGCAGGTGGGGGGTGAAGGCAGGTGAGGGGTGAAGGCAGGTGGGGGGTGAAGGCAGGTGAGGGGTGAAGCCAGGTGAGGGGTGAAGGCAGGTTGGGGGTGAAGGCAGGTGAGGGGTGAAGGCAGGTGAGGGGTGAAGCCAGGTGGGAGGTGAAGGCAGGTGAGGGGTGAAGCCAGGTGAGGGGTGAAGCCAGGTGAGGGGTGAAGGCAGGTGAGGGGTGAAGCCA